TACAGTCTCTCTGGGTCAGAACTTACTCACCATGCATAAGTCAAATCTTTAAGAAATCAATCATTGTATAGTTAAGAACAGTCCAGTTTTCTGTATTCCTAACAGGGAATTAGTTAGTCCAATAAATCATGTTTGAATCTTACTGTGAAGCCTTGAAGAATAATATAGGTGTTTATTGAAATGGAAAGTTGTTTATGCTATAGTGTCAAGTGAAAAATCCGATTATCCATAGTATGACTCAATCTGTCATATGTGTTCATATGCCTACGAAAAAATTGTGAAGGTAACATTTTCTCTAGGTGGTTTTCTTGTTTTCGCTTGCCTGCACTTTCTCCCTTTCTGTACTAAAAATATAACCTGGATATTAAAGAAATAACGTGTTCAAAATAAAATATTCAGTTATTGAGGAAAAAAAGCTACATTATTATCGTGGACCTAGGAGGCAAGCGCTTGAAAGCCTGTGTGTACATCTAAGTCAATAAATGTTCTTAGAAAAAAACAGATATAGACCTATCAACTGTTTGGAATTTTGAATAACCTATAACCCGGGCATGCTATTTAGTTCCTTTTTCTTCTCATCAATCTCATGAGTTCAAATTGGGAATGTGAGAAATTCATTCACTGAAGCGTGTGACGGATACAGTCAGCAAACTGTAGTAAGGGGATTTAAACTCCTCAGATACCACCTGACACCCTGGCCTGGTGGAAACACTGGTTTTTGGCGAAGATGTTAACTCTAGCCAAACAAGGAAGGTTTTTTTTTTTTTTCCGGTTTTATTGAAAAATAATTGACACAAGCAAGTTTGTGGGAAAATGTTTGTACTTAAAGATTAAACTTCAGCCATGAAGTTTGTTTACCTCTTCTAAAATCATGAAAATCGTCTCTGCCTAAGTAACTTCTTTATAATGTAATTTAACAAAAAAAATTTAACTTTAAAAATTCAAACTACTTAATTTTGATACCTAAATTCTAATTTTAAGCAGACAGGACAAGAAGTGACTGAGAATTTTTAAAGTTGTTTTTTTTTCCTCCGATGGACATTTGGGAACACATATCTTAACATTAGTGTCCAATACGAAAAAAAGCAATCTTTTTGACTCAGCATTTAGAGTCAAAAGGAGATTGCTTTTTTTCGTATTGGACGCTATGATTTTTTTCTGATTCTGGGCTGCCTAAGGTGTGGTGTGTCATGCATGCACTTATAAACGTTTTACTTTGACGAATGTTACAGTATTCTCCATTCATTAAGTGCCTTATCATATAGAAATGAGGTACTATAAGTGAAAACATTTAAAGTTTGGTACATAGTGTTAGTTATTAGTCTTTATATTTTTCCCTGTATGAACCATAACACAAGAAACTCATTTGATTCTTCTATGCATAGGTTATTTTCCTCATTATGTGAAAAGCTGACAATACATAGAAATGACTTATCAATTATTTTAAGTTATGTACACACATATATTACTACAGTAGTCAAGGTACTAAAAGTTGAAATAATATTTTGAGGAATTTTCATATTTTTCCTCTCCTGGAGATGAAAGTGAGAAAGGCAGAAAACTCAGAGTAGGAAAAATCCGTAAGAATTCCTAAGAATATGCTATGAAGCTGAAAAGCTGAAATGCCAGAAAATAATTCTGGGAAAAATAAACCCTTGGTTGTGTTCATACCTACACTCAAGCATAAAGTAGGAGGCAGAAACCCTTCCTGAATGTTCCCCAAATGAATGTGTAGCCAGTGAGATTTAGGAAGGTGAAGCTATATTTGGTAACCCAATTAAAATAACTACATTCTCAAGTTACTTACTAGGAAACCATGGTATTCTTAGTATTTTTAAACTTGTCACAACCTGTGCTAATGTTGGCTTTTTTCTTCCTCTTTGCTAAGTATAATCATCTGAGAATTAGTATTCAGCAGCAGGTATAATTTTTTTTTTTTAAAGCAGAAAACAAAAATCATAAGCTCCAAGGATCTGGCTACTGTGGCTAATTTGCTCATGGAATTCTAGATTTATCCCCTGGAGCCCAAGAGCCTTACAGTATTACCTGAAAATAAACAGCATATTGAAGACACCTAAGCCTGTCATGCAGAGAAAATCAACTTTATCAGCCCATGGCTACATGTTACTGAGTTAAGGTCATTTATTGGTGTTATAGTCCTTTTTTTGAGTCTAGGGGATGGATGGTAATTATTAACTCTACACCTCCTCCAAAGGGCAACATTTCTAAGAGAAATCAAAGGAAGGAGAGACAAAGCAGGGCCTTCTTCATGGTTTCTATTGCACTGGAGCACAGGCAGGGAGACTGAAGCAGAGTATACCAAATTCTTTGTTTAATAGAGGGAGTGTTAATGTATATTATGTGAAAAATCATACCATAGAGAATAATGATCAGTGAAAATTCCCTCTTCTTATATTTGGACTTCACCTCTAATATTCTTTTTGGCATTTACACCTTTAAGCTACCAATAGGATAATGTCCTTCTTGGTCCTTTCTTACTGAGGCAAAACAAGTTGCTCCTGGTGACTCTGACCCTGGGCAACACCGGCTAAGCTCAAGACATTTGCTCTGGCCCCTGTAGTCAGATAACACTCAGGCTGGCTAAGTCACCTGAGTGTGACAGCTCCGCAAGAAGTTAATGATCCTTCCACAGGCCAAGTCCAATGAGTGTTTTTATCTTATTAGCTTTGCAAAGTACTTCAGTTTATCACCTCTGGGGAGCCCTCCAATCTGAGACGATATTGCTGAAATGACATTAAAAATTAACAATAGTAAACTACCATTTATTGAGGCAAGTATTATGCTAAAATTTTGATAGCTTAGGAAACTGAGGCTCAGAAAAGTATTTCTGAGGTAAATCCAGTCCCTTAACCACTAAATGTTTTCGTCAGAATTTTCTTAACCACCTAAACAGAAATAGCCAACCAATGCAGCATTCACTCTCTCGGAAATAATCTTATTTTTTAGGGGTTTTTCCAGTCATCATTTTGATCGTTATGTTGGAGTCAATTTTCTGATTTGACTTTAAAATTTTATGTCATTCTTTAAGTTGTCTTCGAAGCTACAGAATATTATTGAATCATCTGCATTTTTACATAGATTTTTTTTTTCATATGGTTACTAAAAATGTTAAAAAGAACGTCAGCCTCCCTCCTGGTAATTTTATCAGAGCAGTCAGTTTTCAACCAAGTGTTCAGTCAACCTTCAACATACGAAGTAGTAAAATTCTCAGCGGCCCAGCACTTAAAACACTGCAGACTCCTCAATTAAATGTCAATAAACGAAGTCAACGACAATACCAAATATCTGTCACGGTTTTGCCTCACTTCACAGTGTTTATAATCCTCTGAGGAATATAGTCAGAAAATAATTCAATTAAAGTGAAAAAACAGGGGCGGTCCCAAGGTTAAGAAGAGGTTGGGAATAAAAGGGAATTTAAAGCAAACATCTCCTAAAACATTAATAACACTGGCAGAGTTTTTTAGATGCGGTAACCCGACACCTCAAAGCGGAGCCTAGAAAAACGCGAGCGCCTCCCCCAGCCCGCGCTCCGCTCGGCCCGGGTCCCGTCGTCCTCGGGTCCCTGCCCCAGGGCAGGGCGGTGGGGGACCGGCCCCAAGACCCACGGCCGCGGAGACAAGTTCGCTCCCCGGCCCGGCGCGCCGGGAGCCGAGCGCGGGGACGGCCGCAACGTCAGCGTCTGCCACCCCTACTCCCGCCGGAGCCTCGGGGA